CTAGTGCTGTACTGGAGGAAGCGAACAGGAGAATGTGCAAAACTCATATGTGGGAATGCACCCAGAGCAACAATCCCACAGCAAGTGGCACACATCATTCAGGGCTGATTTTAAGGGATTTCTTGTTTAGCTTAATGATACATTGTGTTTTTCTTGAGTCATTAAAAAATTCTTATGGCATTATTCTCTGTTTATACCTCAGTTTTCAGGGTTTTTTGTTCCTCCACACTATGTGCCAATTAAAAATAAGCCATCAGTTAGTAGGCTGAGAAAATTGATTTGAAGCCCTTTAAACATCATTGCCCCTTTCTGATTACAGCTTGGCCAATTTTAGAGTTAAGTCACAGAGACCCATAAATCCTCTAATAATAAAAATAAGAGCAAACAAATAAGATGTTTTATCAAAGGATCCAATACTGCATGCCATTTTTTTTATAAGATAAAATTTATAGGCATGTGAAAGTAGGAAGGTCATTTCCTGAAAGCAAACAAATTGAGAAAATCCTACTTTGACAATGTAATGCTTAGTGTTTTGCAGGAAGGAATTAGTTTATAAAACTTTTGAAAAGGATAGGGGATTATTATTTCTAAGTAGAATATGTTTACTAGTAACCTTTCTCTTAGATGTTTGCTCTAATTTCCAGTTATTTTCTTTAAACTTTAAGTCATCATTCCTTGTCACTGTTAACATATTGCAAGGATGGCATTCAGTCTGCTTACTGTTTTATCTGCAGTGTTTCACAATATATATATATATATATATATATATATATATATATATATATATAACTATAATTTAAAGATATGGAGATACTATGTGCAAATCCAGGTTAATAACTTGCGTTGAAAAAATAATCTTTTAAAACCAGGCCTAGTTTCACCATGACAACAGACTTGGGTCGCAAAGCAGATACCCCTGCAGACAGAGTATGTAAGCTCATTTTGTCACCATCCCTGCTTTTATTTTGACTCATTCATGCTACCTCTCTACTCCCCACTGATGTCCTAGTTTGCCACCTCTATTGCCATCAAAATGATTTGTTAAAGGAAAAGGGTCTGATGATCAGATGCCTGTTCTTGATGGGGATTTTCATGGCAACTGATTTCTATCAGTATCTTCCCCATATTAATCCACCATTCTGGGAAAGCAAAGCTACAAGGAAACAATAAGACACTGAGTGGCTGGTAATACCTACAGAACTAAATTGACCACTACTAATGATAACATAGTGAAGAATGAGGAAGAGGAGGAAAAAGAAGAAAAAAGAAAAAGGATTTTTGCTATCATTCTTTTTATAGCAGAAAAAGAAAAGCCAGCTTTATTTAAATTTGCTATTTGTTTCTCTTTAGTCAGTAGTTTCATCTCATAATACCAGATATTGACTTAAAAAATCAATATCATTTTTTTCTTTTAAATAAAAACTCTACAGTACATTCAACAAATCACTCAGTATAGTGTGGGAGGGCCATAACCATTAGATTAGGGGAAACTGGCTTATTACAAATCCATTAATCTAGAATCAATCTAAACAAATTAGGGAAAACGTGCTGATTAAGTTATTCTGTTCTGGACTGGGGACATCACCTCTGCAGCATGTCTTAAAATGGAAATTCATTTAGAAATCCAAAACCTAGAGCAAAGTAACATGAAGGATCACCAAGAATCTCCAAGTACTTTATTTATGACATTCTTCCTCAATATTCTGAGATAAGAAATAGCTTGGATAATACGTGAATATGCTCAGTGTTATTTTCTTCATCATAAAAGGGGCACAAAAAGGCACTTTTATATATATTTTGGGAGATTTATAGGACAGCTATGGCAAGAAGTGAAAATGGCGCTTTTATGATTAACAGATGTATCACTGGCAGGAGCCAAGACTACTTACTGATTCCTCTCCCATTCTTCATCAATGAAATCTAACAGCAGCTCAACTGTAAGACGAGTTTAAGCCCCAGTTAAAGACTCCAACTTTGAAAAGTGTCTCCTTTGTGAAAGGAAGCTGATAAATCACACTCACCATCAAAAAGTGTGTCTGTACATCATGTCCTTTGATGAGCTATCCTTAAGAGTCTCAAGATTCCAGAGAGCCGTGGAAGGGGCTGGCTTGCATTAGGTTTCTGCAGAGCTGGCAGCCTTATTCTGGAAGTCTTACATTACAGGTAACCTGATGACAGGGAGGGTGGGCCACAGACAAGCATGCCAGCCTGCCTGTGGAGCCAAGAGGAGCAAGCTTGCAAGACTGATATGCTGGGATCAATGAAACTCTCTGGGGAACTGGCTGTTCCCCTTTCAAATGCCACCTCCCTAATCTTCCCACTTGCTCAAGTCAGATTCTTCAAAGCTCTGAACACGACATGAGGCTGGCATGATTAGGAAAGGCAAAGGAAGAGTAGCAGGGACCAAATTCATGGACAGTTGACAATCAAGGTCAGAATTGAGGGGTACTGCTTGGAACTATAATTGTTTCCTTTAACCACGAGGGGAAAACACAGGTTTTTAATAGTTATGAAGGGTATGTTGGACATTGTGCTGGGCAGTACATCAGGGTGCTTGCTCTCCAGGATCGTGGAGTCTATGAAGGGAGAAAGACACAGCAGCAAAAAGTGATCATATGTCCAAAGGCCAGTGCTGCTATCTCAAAGTGAGCACAACAGAAAAATACAATAACCTGAGGATTTTCACAGTGTTTGCACACACATAATACAGCATGTCCTGGGTTGTGAAAAAAACAGCTCTCAAACTGACAAAGGTACACGAGTCCCATAATCAAGAGAGAATGACCTATATTCACAAAGAGGCCTCTTCACTAGAGCAAAAGAAAACACTCTGCCCCCAGAAGTGGTGTCCTTACGATCTCTCAATTCTCAAGTAGGTGCCATAGAAAGCTTATTTTTTTCTCACTAGCAATGCCAAAAGCATTCCAGATCAGTGCTTGAGAGTCTTTGAAATGGCCAGAGTATTTCATTATATGGATGTGCCATAAACTATCGAACCAGTTCCTCTACTGGTGAGTGCTTAGGCTGCCTCCATAGGTTGCCACAACAAATTAATGTGCTGGCACTTCAATAAGCAAGGTTCTCTGCTTATTATAAAAAAAAAATAATATCTTTTATTTAAAATGTAGAATAAAAAAAGGTAATCCCATAAATTAAGTGGTGGATGAAAAATGAGAAAGAAATGCCATCGATCTACAGGTCTTTCTTTCCAGAAAAGGCCCATCCTTGTGCTGGCTAGGATGGGGCTGCATCTCATCGGGCAGGCTTAATTAAGAAAGGAGTGCAGGGCCGGCTGAGTGGCGTGTTGGTTAAGAGCTGGCTTGGGACGCCAGAGGGCCCCGGTTCGGATCCCACATATGAGGGCCAGTGACACTGCCCTCCACAGCTAAGATGCTGAACAACAGCTCAACCTGGAGCTAGGCTGCCGTGAGTCGCCGGCGACAGCGTGGGCTGCAGTCCCCTGCTGCAGTGGGTTGCCATAAGCTACCATGTGTAACCGGCAGCCAGCGTGAGCGGCCAGCAGCCGCCAGTGAGTGGCTGTCCAGAGGCCCGCGACTGATGTGCCTCGCCCGGGAAGAGCGCAATCACAATACCAACATGGGCCAGTGAAGCAACGTCCTCCACAACTAGACTGAAGAACAAAACGACAGCAACTTGTCTGTTCCCCTTCCCATGATTCCCCAGCACTGTTCCCCTCCCCCAATTCTCCAATAAAATCTTAAAAAACAAAAAAACAAAACAAGAAAGGAGTACAGCCAGCCTTCAGAAGTCTACCTATGGGAGAGCCTGCTATCATCCTATGTCATCTATTCATATATTTGGATAGTGGATAATATCACAGTCCCTGGGGAAAGGAGTATGCATGCTAATAGCACAAAAGCAATAAGAGGGAAAAAAAAAAGTAGAAGACATTTTCTTTGCATTTTTTCAAAGTATTACTTGTACACATGAGCCCTCAACAAAACTATAATAAGCTCATGAAACAAAGGAATTTAAATTCAGACTCTATAAATACTTGTGTGCCTATGGCTAGCCAGGTGCTAGTAGGTGTGCTTACACATGTCATGTAATCCTCACAACAAAAAAAGTATTAACATTTCCATTTGTAGGTGAGGAAAGTGATGTTTAGATAGATTGAATTGTTTAGGCTGGTCCCATATACTGCCAGTAAATTTCAGGGTTGAAATCTGCACCTAAGATTCTTGCCATTTCCAAACTGACATTCTGTCAACTGTCCTATTACTGATGATTCCTGGCTACAATTGTAGAGCAGAACTCCATTCAATTAAAAGGGGAGTTTTGATAAGTGGTGGCAATTACATTGGCAAAATAAAAAAGTCTGAAGCTAAATCCCAAATTGAGTGTTGATTTGGGGGCACTGTGTGTGACAATAGAAAATATAAACAACATTATCACACTTCACTTTATTTCATTGGAAGATGTTTAAAATAAATACCATACTTTTTATGGAACTGGAAACTATCACGTTTGTTATTTAAAACACAGAGAAAGCAAAAGAAATATGCATATATACTTTAAATGCATTAACTATATTGTGGCAGTCATTCTGAGTGAAATCAGAAATGAAAAGAGAAAACTCAACACAGTAGGATGACAAGTGATAAAATGGTACTAAAAAGATTTTTATTAAAGAATCATCAGGAGACTATGCAGTGAGTGTGGCCTCCTATATAACAGCTGTGTCCGTTGCTTCCAGTTGGTGGGCAGTTTTAAAATGTAGTGTCTTATTTTGAAAAATTGCTTAAAAGTGCACAGATGCCTAAGAAATAGATGTTGTGTACTATGGCCTAAAATTGTCCTCTATCAGTTGGGCTTCAGCTCCATACTCCACAAGGGCTATGTGTGCCTATACGTCGTTACTGTCTATTAATCAAGACAGAAGACAGTCCAGATAGGACAGTGGAGCGACCTGGACTGAGAGTGAGGGAGGCCTGGGTTCCTCTCCTTCCTTGGTTGATTATTAGCCATGTAACCATTACTTCTTGATGTTTCCTCATTTATAAGACTAGAGATAACAGCCTTGGTTATGAGGCTCAACTACAAAAAATGTATGAGAAAACACTTTTAAAAATGTGAGTTCTACTCATAAATGTGAGGACATGTAATTTGGTTCAAAGTGATAGATGCTTCCATGTATAAGACATTGGTGTCCAAGGCTAAGAACTTGTATCTTTTTAGGTAATTTCCGCAGTTACTCAGATAGGATTCAAGTGTCCTAGATTTAGAAGAAATGCACCTGGGCCTAAAATAAACTTGACTGTGAACAGGAAAGAACTTAATAAAGATATAACAACCATGTGACACACTAGTAGGAAAGAATGAACATCTAATTCAATCACCTTATTCTGTAAAATCTGTAGGAGGGTAGATTGCAGATAACTGAACAGAAACCTAAGAAGGACAAAACAGTTTAACCAAGCTCATTTGTTAACGACAACCAAAAATACCTGATTACTAACTACGTCCTTCTAAAAACTGTCTATGCTGATCATTTAATACTACCTTACCTTAAAGAAAGGGTGGGTTTGACCATACTCGTTCTTATCCTCATCAGAGGCACAGACTGACTTCTAGGAAGATGAGGTTTCTTGGCTAAGGTCACAAAAATCATCAAGACGAGAAGCCTGGTTTTCTGGCTCCCAACTAGACCTCGTGTTCCATTACCTCAGTGCCTACTCGCTTTCTCAGGGTGCTGATGTCACTGTTGCCACATGTCAGGAAATTGTACCAGTGTGCTCCCCAAAATAATCCTTTTCTCTTTAACCTACCATTTAGGTAGAAATCTCCGACCTTTATTTGTGAGACAATTTACTCAGAAAGAGGAGTTTTGATCAAAGATGATTGAGGAGTGTGCTAAATTTGAAAAAAGCCTTAAGAAGGTGGTGAGGGGGGGAGGAGGGAGGAAGACTGATTTTAATGTCATCCTTACGAGTATATCAAGCTCCATCCCTATGGTTCTTAAACCATTTTAGAAGGAAAGTGATTAACCATTTAGGGGTGCCCATGTGCCCATCATCCCTTCAGATGTGCTCACTCTTAATATAGTAGAGCTCTGCCTGAATATGCCAAGCAAGAAACAGTTAGCCTTGAAGATCAGTGATTGTAAACGTCCAGTGGGTGACCCCTATCCTAAAACACATCAGTGCTCTACTTAGGAAATGGTTATTCTATTGTTTTTTTCAGCAAAAGCTTACTTAGATGGATCAACCAATATTTATTTAAGGCCTAAGGATGCTAAGCTCACTCACCTTTAGTGTCCATCTCCAGGATTATTGCTATAAAAGAGACTAAAGATTATGACACAATTGATAAATAACACGTGGGGGAGAGATTAAGTTTTAAATTAATATTTAGACTTTATGGTTAAAATGTGAACCATGACAGAACCGCTTCTCAAAATATAAAAGTACTAAAATACATTTTTAGATGATTTTGGGACATCCTGATGTGAAATGGTGGGAAAAGGAAGAAGAGGTCACAATCTAGGAGGGGAGGGCCTGATCAGAAATAGATGCAGCTACACAAAAGCGTGTGTAACCTGGGGTAGCTGGGTAGCTCAGTTGGTTAGAGCACAGTGCTCATAACACCAAGGTTGCCAGTTCGATTCTCTCGTGGGCCACTGAGTTGTGCCCTCCACAATTAGATGGTAACAACTACTTGACTTGGAGCTGATGAGTCCTAGAAAACTCCCCAATAAAATCCTCTAAAAAAAAAAAAGCCTCTGTAACTTTAGGGATGTCACGTAACCTCCACATTCTTCTGCTTTCCTCACTAGTAAAACGGGAGTTATAAAACGTGTCCTACCTAGCTCACAAAGAAGTGAGGTCAAAATGAGAACACATGTGAAATTATGTTGGAATGCAGTGTTATGAATGCAGATTATTTCGTAAACTCTATTCAACTGGATTAAAGCCTGTAATGAACTGGATATTATAACATAAAAGAAACGCTTTCCAAAGAAACCTATTTGCCAAAGAGGGAAAAAAAACTGTTAAAACAATTCTAAAGCTACTTTTCTCAACAAGATGATGATATTTGGAAGCATTTCTATAATCCATGCAAACATTAAATTGTTTGACAAACATGCATGTCACTTTGGTCTTGGGCATTCTTTGATCAACCAGTTAAAACCAGTCTTGTAGGTCCCCTCCCTTATATTTGAGCTTTATTCACGTTATAATACATTACAAAATAAACTTTGAGATAGAATAAACATTCTTGCGCCTTTTGAATTTTTGAAAATATTTCTATGTTTTCTTAGAAAAGTTATAGATGGAAAGATTTTTTTTCAAACATTTTAAATCAGAATACTTTTGGACTAATTCACATTTCCAATGTATAGTTTTAAAGGCTTCTTTTTGGGAAACATATTTGCAAATGTAAGAAAAAATATATGTATCGATACAGTATGATTCATGTTATAGAACCAACATGTATCAACTAATTTAACCCTTCCTTAATAAATGAGATTTTAATTTTTTGTTACAGATGCCATGTTTGTGATTTTATTAAATTTTTAAAATCACACCTTAATGTGACATTTACTTCTTCCAAATAATGAGACTAGTAACTATCCTACATTCTGAGGACTGCAAACACATATCATGATTATGGTAATTCTCATTGGCATAATGCTTTACATTTCCCCCCAAAACTTTCACACAAACGACCTCACAACAGCATGAAGCACACAAGCACACACCGGCTGAAATTATTAGGAGCCAGCCAGAATACAGGCTTTTGCTTCCCAGATCAGGGCTTTTCTCACTAATTGGCACTTTTTTTCTCTCTGGTTCAGTGTTAAATATTCAAAACCAAGAAGGCCTTAGAGGACAGGGAGAGATTTTCTACCATTCAATATGGATTCCTAAGCTTT